CAACGACCCCAAGAATCCCACCTTTACACTCCTTGGATAATTCCAAGCCTCTCTCAAGATGGTTTGTGGCCCTGCAATCCCTTGGCTSATGAGGAAACAGAGACTCTGATTCCAGAGATGCTGGAATTTCAGAGATCTACAGCCTCAAAGAGTGACAGGGAATTGGGTAGCCCTGCATCACCCATGMAGCTCTTTTCCACACCCTCAATGATGTGCCAGAGCTCAGGATCCTGCGTGGGCAGGATCCCTTGGGCTTCACACCACTTCCATGCTCAGGAATTATCCAACTCTTTTTCTTTCAGGACATAGACAAGTTTGGGAACGAGATCACCCAGCTGGCTCGCCCGCTCCCGGTCGAGTACCTCATCATAGATGTGAGTATTGCATGTCATTGTTTCCCACAGGAGATGCTCAGGGTGGAGCAAACTCCTAACCYACCTCTGAAATTCCCGGTGGAGGTGATTTCTGAGACAGATTATCCTTCTCTCCCTGCTGCTGCCAGGCATTCCTAGCGGGGAGGTGGCTTCCCTGCTCTGTGGGGTCACTGTGGTGCCAGGGAACACATTTGTTTTCCAAGAAGGCACTGCCTGGTGCCTTATCACAGCTCCAAGCTGGCCCAGAGCCACATGGCCGGGAAGCAGCAGCCCCACAGACCCGTGTCCGGGGCACTGCCTAATGAGGAAACTCCAGAGCAGCAATTAGGGATCCATCTCCTTCGAGTGACTCAGCAGGTTGTCCGGAAATGCCTTTTCTTGGAGGAGGGAATTCACGCTCTGGCACGGTTTGGCCGGAGCGGAGCTGCTGCCAGGCACGGCAAGGCTCAGCCCCAGGGCTGGGAAACAAAGTTACAGCGTGGAAGGCAGGAAAGCAAATAATTGGGATGCCAGATGATACCGCTGGAGCTGGAGGTGGTGCCAACAACCATTAGATTCACCCGGAGCAGCCTTCCTGGTCCAGCTGCCCCTGGCACAGGCAGCACTGGAGCACAGGAATTCCTGCAGGAGTGAAGGCACCTGTTCCTGAGATTCCTGGGATGAAAACAGAGGGATGGAACRTGCATTAGGATCCCCCCAGAACCCCCCTGTAGCAGCAGCTGCCTGGCATGGGGCAGAGCTGTGCTGGGATCTCTGTATCCCACTGATCTGTGCAGAGAKGGATGCTCTCTGGAGCATCTGTCAGGACCAAACCCATCATGTCCCTCCAGYTTCCTTAGAAAGGGAACCGAGGGGTGTGGTGATGGAATATCACTTTAAATTAAATTAAAAGCCATCAGATCCCTGCAGGATCCCTCACWGTTTGGCTGAGCTGGAATCACAGCTGTGGCTGTTCTCAGCTACATGGACTTGCTTTCCATATCCTACTGGTCTCTGATCATCCTTCCTTGGATTTTTCCTTTTTTTTTTTCAGATTACTACAACTTTCCCCAAGGATCCAGTCTACACTTTTTCTATTTCTCAAAATCCATTCCCCATCGAGAACCGCGATGTGCTGGGAGAAACTCAGGTGAGGGGCGATTCCTGASGGAGCCGTGTTCCAACACACAGGGACAGGCTCTGCCTCCCTCATGCTCACAGACATCTGCAGAGGGACAGCTGTGCCCTCAAGTCACCCCTTCCCTGCTCAGCTTGCCAAAGTCCTTCCTGCACGGAGCAGTGTCTGCATGCCAATGCCGACTGCCGGCCGGTGCTGAGCTCCTGCCGGATCCATGATGGGATCAGAGCTCCCCGTGCCTGCCAGGCAGCTCCAGAGGGGCCAGGGGCAGC